TCCAAGTGCAATGACAATTTGTTCTTATTTTTCAGGTACTTACCCCTCTAATTTACTTAACAAATTAATTCTGTTAAACGAACGATTCGTATCAATTTTTTTTTTCTTATAAAGAAATGAGAGAATAAATCAGTACCGAAAACCGAAGACCGATCAATACGTAATTTTTCCATCAAATTAAAGCGGATAAATGAACGATTCGTATTAATTTTCTGTTTTCTTATAGAGCAATGAAAGATTAAATCAGTACCGAAAATCGAATATCGATTAATACCGTAAATCAGTGTCAGAGAATTGTCCAAGTGCAATGACAACTTGTTCTTATTTTTCAGGTACTTACCCCTTTAATTTACTTAACAAATTAACTGTGTTAAACGAACGATCCGTATCAATTTTTCTTTTCTTATAAAGAAATGAGAGAATAAATCAGTACCGAAAACCGAAGACCGATCAATACGTAATTTTTCCATCAAATTAACGCGGATAAATGAACGATTCGTATTAATTTTCTGTTTTCTTATAGAGAAATGAAAGAGTAAATCAGTACCGAAAATCGAATATCGATTAATACCGTAAATCAGTGTCAGAGAATTGTCCAAGTGCAATGACAATTTGTTCTTATTTTTCAGGTACTTACCCCTTTAATTTACTTAACAAATTAACTGTGTTAAACGAACGATCCGTATCAATTTTTCTTTTCTTATAATGAAATGAGAGAATAAATCAGTACCGAAAACCGAAGACCGATCAATACGTAATTTTTCCATCAAATTAACGCGGATAAATGAACGATTCGTATTAATTTTCTGTTTTCTTATAGAGCAATGAAAGATTAAATCAGTACCGAAAATCGAATATCGATTAATACCGTAAATCAGTGTCAGAGAATTGTCCAAGTGCAATGACAATTTGTTCTTATTTTTCAGGTACTTACCCCTTTAATTTACTTAACAAATTAACTGTGTTAAACGAACGATCCGTATCAATTTTTCTTTTCTTATAAAGAAATGAGAGAATAAATCAGTACCGAAAACCGAAGACCGGTCAATACGTAATTTTTCCATCAAATTAACGCGGATAAATGAACGATTCGTATTAATTTTCTGTTTTCTTATAGAGAAATGAAAGAGTAAATCAGTACCGAAAATCGAATATCGATTAATACCGTAAATCAGTGTCAGAGAATTGTCCAAGTGCAATGACAATTTGTTCTTATTTTTCAGGTACTTACCCCTTTAATTTACTTAACAAATTAACTGTGTTAAACGAACGATCCGTATCAATTTTTCTTTTCTTATAAAGAAATGAGAGAATAAATCAGTACCGAAAACCGAAGACCGATCAATACGTAATTTTTCCATCAAATTAACGCGGATAAATGAACGATTCGTATTAATTTTCTGTTTTCTTATAGAGAAATGAAAGATTAAATCAGTACCGAAAATCGAATATCGATTAATACCGTAAATCAGTGTCAGAGAATTGTCCAAGTGCAATGACAATTTGTTCTTATTTTTCAGGTACTTACCCCTTTAATTTACTTAACAAATTAATTGTATTAAACGAACGATCCGTATCAATTTTTCTTTTCTTATAAAGAAATGAGAGAATAAATCAGTACCGAAAACCGAAGACCGGTCAATACGTAATTTTTCCATCAAATTAACGCGGATAAATGAACGATTCGTATTAATTTTCTGTTTTCTTATAGAGAAATGAAAGAGTAAATCAGTACCGAAAATCGAATATCGATTAATACCGTAAATCAGTGTCAGAGAATTGTCCAAGTGCAATGACAATTTGTTCTTATTTTTCAGGTACTTACCCCTTTAATTTACTTAACAAATTAACTCTGTTAAACGAACGATCCGTATCAATTTTTCTTTTCTTATAATGAAATGAGAGAATAAATCAGTACCGAAAACCGAAGACCGATCAATACGTAATTTTTCCATCAAATTAACGCGGATAAATGAACGATTCGTATTAATTTTCTGTTTTCTTATAGAGCAATGAAAGATTAAATCAGTACCGAAAATCGAATATCGATTAATACCGTAAATCAGTGTCAGAGAATTGTCCAAGTGCAATGACAATTCGTTCTCATTCCCAAGTCTTTCCCGAGTCGAAATATTAATTCTACATTGATCCTGCAAATTGCATCCAATTTGAAAAATCAATGCAGAATATCTAGATGCGCAATAGTGAACAAGCTTTGTCTTACCTGAACGTTACATCTGGCTACTCTCGCAGTCTCGCCCATGATGAATCTTCAACAGCGACGTATCCGCAGTTATTTAATACTGGTTTATCTCGATAATGTATATGTATTTAATCCTTATATATTTAATTTAAATGAGCAATTTTTGTTGATGTTGGTTATATATTCGCTTAACTGCGCAAGAAAGAGAACAAAGATAAAAACGTAAATAGAACCGCCTTTGTTAGAACTGCGTGTGAAATAAATATATAAGGATTAAATAATCATATTAGAATTAGAGGAAATGGGGAGATGAGAAACACTTTTAATTCTCATCATTCTTAAAGTTATTTTTTTCTTTTTTCTTCTCTTTTTTTTCTTTTCTTTTTTCTAATGAGAATGATGAGAATTGTAGCTCTTAAAAGAGCTGAAGCTGCAAAAAGACAACGGTTATGTCTAATAATGCTGTTTCACTAATAGAGATTTTAATTCAGATTCGGTACAATAAGAAAGATAAACAAGAATGAGAAACGGACATTCTAGCAGATTCTAAACGAAAACAGCAATCTGAGCATTATTAGACGAATAAAAATCAACACTTGTAAAATTTATATCAGATTTTAAGATCATTATTCATAGTTTTCTAAATTATGTGCAACTTTTTATTGAGAACATAATTAAAAATTTGTATTCATAAACCTTAGCTTGCCTCGACAACCTTGCTTGAATAGATATTCATATTTTATGAGAAAAGAAAAGTAGAACTTATGTTACGTGAAATTAGGTTAACAAATAATCAAATCTCTAGCTATTTTATCATTTTTCAGATGATAAACTATGAATGCTGATCTAATTTCGACTCGGGTATGTCCTTACTTCGAGTAAGGTCCGTTAAAGTCAGAAAAATAATAATGCGTAATAATAATAACTCGAGGTACCTCAAATACCAAATATGATGTATCGCTGTCCTCGGCTACGTCTCTCGGTGCGCTCCGAGTCCTCTCTCCATCCTGACTTCTCGATCCGACGTCCTCCTTCTGGTCCTCCGTCGCAGCACCCTCGGATACTCCATCGTAGCACTGGCGACGACACTGACTCTAGCTCTAACACTCGCGCAAGTAAGATTCGGGGACAAAGAAACGCGTATTAACCGATACTCGTATTACTCTGCGTCGCGGTATGCGCGTCGTTCGTCGGCCCGAGGCGCAATGTCCTTTCCGCAATCACGGAGTCATATATAAACGTACGAAAACAAACAATCGGGAAGGCACGGTTACCCCCCACCTTGCCGATCAGTGTTGATGCCTGCGTCGTCCGTTAGCTGAAAATGAAAACAACTCGTGTTTTCAAAGCATGCCTGTGAGAGATTCGCTTCAAACTTCACAATACTTGTTTACGTCTGTTCCAAGAATTATATTACACCGAATTCAAACTGTCTCTATTGACATGACATACATACGAGATTTGCGATCGCATCATTGATCTTTCTTTGGACAAGAAAATCCTGAGAGGAACGCTGTTCGAGAATATCGCATTTTATGTTTCAGGTGCCTTGCAGATTATCGAATTCGATGTAACAGATCAGTACCACGATTCTGTAACTCGTTATTGGAGTTAACGACAGTTCCGTTATTGTTGCGCAGCTTTTCTACGGTATACAAAAGCTGCGCAACGATAACGAAAGTATCATTAACTCCAATAACGAGTTAAAGAATCCCACCATAGGGAAAGTATGAATGCGTCGCTATGATTAACACGCGTGGGCACGGAGTACTCCAAGTCAATCACGTTATACGTAAAACGTACATATATTTAATATTATATAAAACTTACCTTTTTAAACAAAAAGGTAAAAAAAAGGCGCCAAGTACAAGCGCAACACGTATTGTGCTATTTTTAGAAGTATCAAACTCAAATGATTATTGTGTCATATGATTATTGTATGCTTAATTTAATATTTTTAGGAATCTCAAATTCAAATTATTTTCTTCTTTAAGATATATATTATATACATAACATAAGTTTTTATAATATATGTACATAAACTTTTAAAAGTAAAAATTATATCGTGTTATAAAAATTTAACACGTTTGTTAATAATGTCCAACATTAAAAAAAAAATATCTTTTTAAAAGTTATGTTATTCAAAATATTCAAGAAAACCTAGCTGTAAAAAACTTATCTTTCCTGCTCCCCTCCCCCCCCCCTCTTTTTAGACCTTCGGGTATAAGGCCTGTTTGTTTTGTCTGCACTGCTGAATTAGTGCATTAAGTTAAAGTGAAACAAACGTAGATTTTCTCACTTCAACTTGTTGCACCAGTTCAGCAGTGCAGACAAAACGAACAGGCCTATTGTCTGGCATAGAGATAGTAACTATGGTTGCAGCACGGACATAAACCGCCTGAAAGCGGATGTAGCACGGACTTCCACCACATGCAAATTTTACTACCAAGATCTAAAAGTGGATGTAGCATCATAGTTCTCCTCTCAAAATGGATGCAGATGGCGCCCATTTCCAGTGCGGAAAGTTGGTGTTGCAGAAAATGTCGTGTTGGCCGTTCTCAGGTTTCTCTCTGCTTATAGGATCTCGTCGGTGCCACCGACGAGGTAACGAACTTTATTAGAATTTCATCGGCTGGAATTTCAGTTGCCACTTACATTTGCCCTCTTTGCATAGCATTTACTTTTTATACACTTATAAACTTAAATCGCGTAGAAAATAAGAAATAATAGAAAAAACATTGTGGAAAAATTTATTGGGGATTTAATTTATCGATATTGGGAATATAACAATAATCCGTTTAATAAAACGATTGCGCATTTTTTATTAGCCGTTTGAACATTTCCTATTTCCGCTGTATTAATAAAATAAAAGTTGCTTTGAGATATATTTTAACGTAATACTTTGCCGAATTCACGAGTTCCTATTTAACAGTAGGAACTAATGTAATCAAGCGATCGATATCAATCATTGCCAATTTATTAACTGAACGGATCAGCGAAGACAATTCCCTACCGACTTTGTCTAGTAATTTGTTTTTACCTAGGTTAGGTTTGTTTTTACCCGATCGAGATATCTCTATAATACAAAATTCGGCTCTGATTGCGTCGGGATGCACAAGTTCGTTGTCTTCGCCAAGACAAACGCGATCGAGTTTTAACCACATTGAAAGAAGTCGATTGCAATCTAATTGGTCTACGATCATTGTAAAACAGCTGCGTTCGCAGCTATACTAGGATTGTTGATGACCTCGCCCAGGCTCTCTAACAATTCTTTCCTGTAGTCGTCGAAGTCACCGTCGATCGCGTTGATCTGCTGGTTCTCGATTACATAAAGGCAGCACTCGGTGTCGCGGATCAACCGTTCGTCGTGAGAAACGATAATGACGCCACCTTTGTAGTCGTTGATGGCGTCGGCGAGCGCGTCGATGGATTCGATGTCCAGATTGTTGGTCGGCTCGTCCAGGATCACCACGTCCGGTGCGTTCAGGCACAACTCGGCCAGCGCTACGCGCGCTTTTTGCCCACCCGATAGGTCCTTCATCTTGATAGTATGTGCGTGGGAGCTGAGACCAAAGGTACCCAGCTGCTTGCGTGCTTTCTCATACGGAAGATCAAACAGCCGCATGAGATATTCGGTCGGCGTTTCCTCCGCAGTCAAATGTTCGCCTGAATGTTGGTCGAACCTTCCTATCCTCTGCAACATATACATCGTAATTTAGGATGACACGATGATAATTAAAAATCTCAAAAATAACCAAAGAAATCAAAGTAACTCAAAAGGCAGAAGGGTTTTACGATTATGAAATCTGTATTACAAACAGAGAAAAATATTGAGCGATAAAGTTAGTTAAAAAGCTTGAATCTTCCACGTGATAAGATCGTTGATTGTTCAACAAGCGATTTAGTACATACCAGCCGGTGGTTCTTCGTAACTTCTCCCTTCTGAGACGTAAGATCACTCATTAACAATTTTAAGAACGTAGATTTGCCGACGCCGTTAGGACCCACTATAGCTATCCGAGAGCTCAGATCTATACCGAAATCCGCGTTAATGAACAACGGTTTTTGTCCTTCGTACGCGAAAGTTACGTCTGGAAAAAAATTAAACGTTAAAGTAATCTATTTAAGAGTGATATGTCTCATGTCGGAATTTTCCATATTCATTATATGTACTTTGAAGACCGAGAATTGGAGGTTGAAGCGGCGGCGGGTCTGGAAAGCTAAACTTCACCACATATTCCTTTGGTCTCTGTAGCAGTTCCTGAGGCCCGGTGTCTTCCTCTTGTTTCTGCATCTTTGTTCGATTCTTTTCTTGCTTCCTAGTAAGCGCCTCCTTCTGTTTCTTTTCAGCCTGTTTCTTGCTCTGGCCAGAGGCTTTGAGGTCCTTCAACCGTTTTTCTTGCTTCTCGTACGCCTTTATCATCTCTTTTCGCTTCTGTTCGTACATTTTCTTGAACATGCTGTAGTTACCCTTATAATAGAAGAGCTTTTGCTGATCCAGATGTATCACGTCCGTACACACGTTATCCAAGAAACTTTGGTCGTGCGACACGATCAGCAGTGTCTTCTTCCAGCCTTGCAAGTAATTATCCAGCCAAATTACCGCGTTCAGATCCAGGTGATTCGTAGGTTCGTCTAACAGTAACAACGTGGGCTCAAGAAAGAGCGCCCTGGCGAGCGAAACGCGCATTCGCCAGCCACCGGAAAAATTTTTTGTCGCGCGGTCTTGCATTGATCGACTAAAACCCAAACCAGCTAAAATCCTCCTGGCTCGCGGCTCTGCCGAATCCGCGCCGATAGCTTTTAACTCTTCATAAACCTAAAGATAAAACATATAAAATATTAAATTAAATTTTTTAAATTACAAATATAAAAAATAACATACAGATTTTTAACAATTACATACATATAGAAATAATATATATATATATATACATATATATATATATATATATATAATAGTAAAACCTAATCGGAAGAAAATTAGAATGTAAACTACAAAAACTATAGTACCAATGAAAGAAAATTAAAAAATCACCTCTTGAAGTCTATTTTGTACAGTAGTATCCCCTTGCTCTGTCAGTTCCTCTAGCTTTTTACATTCTGCCTGAAGTTCTCTACATTTCACATCGGCACTGAGTACAACTTCAACAGCAGGAGTATCATCAGCTATAACTTCTTGTTCACAGTATAAAACATCTATAGTAGGTGGGATATTGAAGGCTCTGTTGGCTATATGACGAAGCAAGGTAGTTTTGCCATGACTGTAATTGAAGTAAATATAATATATTCCTAATAAGAAAGAAGAAAAGAAACTGACATGGACCAGTATTCTGAATTCTCTTTATATTGATAACAATGGTTCTAAAAAATAATTTATAGCCAATCAGAAGGTTTGTAAGCTAATAAAATAAAGTTCAAAATATCAGTTATTATCTTATATTGAAATAATATTTATGATATTACAACAAAGATATACAAAAAATAAGCTTACCCGTTAGGTCCGACGAGACCATAACGTCTACCTTGCGCAATCAGCAGACTAGCATTGGTGAAGAGCTCCTTGCCCTTGGCTGCTATGCTGAAGTTATCAACTTTGATGTCGACCGCATTGTCCAGCTGTTGATTGCCACGTTGTTGCGTCTGACTCTGCGAGACCGTGAAGTTGGTCTCCAGCTCACTGTGACCTTGACCACCTGTTTTTGTCAGCATCTCCATCGTTCTTTCATATTCCTGCTGTTTCTTCAGCTTCTTCTTTTCCTTGTGCGTTAATTTCTTGCCGCTCGTCTCCTCAATTTCCATATCCGCAATCTTGTCCGTAATTTTAGACGTTCCGTTTGTATCTTTCGTTGACATCGTTGAAGATTTTTCTTATCCTACTTCTTACAGATGTCAATTCCTTCTGAGACAGAGCACACGATCTAATCTAACCTAACTTAGCTTAACCTCACTTTCTCCGCATGCTCTGCTCACCCTGTTCACTTGACTCGGAGAGTGGGCAAGTAGGCCGATGTATCGATATTCGATTCCTCTTTTGTTCAAGAGTCGATTGTTTCTCATCGACTCTTGACGCTTCCAAATTTGATTCATCTCCACATTATTAACTTTATAATGCTGTTATTACATTTTAATAGAATTTTTTTTATTATATACTCAGATCCTTGAAAATGATAAATCTTCCGGGTTTAATCATAACGGGTCATTTAGCTAAGGTTCACTTTTTACCTGAAATATATTTTCAGTGTAATAGTTTGCCGCGTACCGCTAGATGACGCCAGGTAGACCGTCAACAATTTTCAAATAGGTCTATTATAACTGATTAGCTATCTCTCTAAAGTTAGTTCTAAAAACTCTGCTAGGAGCCGCCACTATTCCAAATAATACGATTTGAAGGCAGATCGGAAGATTTTTATTTTCAACTCGGACGACTCGACGGTAAATCTCTCAAATAAATTCTTTTTTGCAAATAAATGATATGATTCTACGACATATATCAGATAAACACTTTATTCTTTAGTAATATGATCGAACACAACAGAGGGGATAATTTTTACCTCAGGCGACAAAAAATATTAATCATTTCGACTTAATCTTTTATTATCATGGAATGGAAATTCGAACAGAACATGTAGACGAGTCAAATGAAATATGTACGTATAATTTTGTTGAAGTATCATTTCTTAACATTGTCAATTTGTCTTTTGCTCTTCCTTTGTTTCTCTTACGAACCGTCTACATATGCTTACGAGTGTAAATGATTGATAATATCGATGTGTTCCCATCTTTTGCAGACACTTATGTCGATGCTTTTGTTCTGTCTGGTTGTTATCGTCTGTAAATGTTCACATTATCGCGTAATGAACTCCGATGAGAGGCGCCTCCATCTAGACAAAATTAGACATGTCGATAATCAAGATCGGTGCGTCGAAAGAAAAACAAGTGCAGCGCGATATGTCGGCACTTGTCTAAATAATGCATTGCTCTCTACTTTACCCTGTCGTTAACGGTCAGCAGTTAGTGTTTCGTTTCTGAGGGAAGTGTGTTCCCTCTTGTCGCGAGTGAAATATCAATCCGGTATCCGCGGGATTTTAGTTAATCGTTCAAGGAACAAAGTATACGACCGAATAAATTTAGCTACGCGCTCTGTGAGTTTTATGAAATGAGCATCTGCCTCTCCGCGATTTCGTCTCAATCGCGAGCGTCGGAAATCTCGGCACGAAAGGGGTTAAGAACGTAGACACAATATGGCGGAATGTTGAACTTTTTGGCGCTCATTCGCCATTAGAGCAGCAGATCGACATTACGCAGATCACATTCACTGTGGCTTTAAGAGTCTCCAGAACATCAAACGCCAGAATATAGGTTAGCAAGAGGAATTGCACGCGATTCCAACACGACACGTAGTAAAATTGTACCGTAAAACTGCTACTTTCGAGACTCGACCTTTTACATGCAATCATCTAACGCATTCACTTTATGCACAGGAAGAGCAGGAAGAGTAGGAACTGCAGTTGAAGTTGGCGAATCCCTGAAAATCGGTGCAACATAGGTGAATCGGAGAATTATGGCCTGAGAAGTACGTGTCGTTGGCAGATTGGCAGATCTTCGTGTATGTTCGTCCGTCTACATTATCGGTAAGAGCTTGTCATATATAGTAGTTGTAGTTGGTGCACATATCGTGTTTACATCATATGCATGCGATGCCTTTTACATGACAGTACTATGTATATGCAAGGTGACGAAGGATATAAATGTTGCATGTTTAATCCTTGGTATGCTATCATGGTACCAATTAAATTAAAGAATTAATTTATTCTACTATAGTAATTTATTATATATTGTTATGGTATTAAAGGTATTGTTATTGTATTAAAGGATTAAATTATCCTATTAAAAGTTTTCTGTTAAAAAATTATTTAATTGAAAGCAAAATAAATATATTTTTTTTTATTCTTTCAAAGACTTTTTTAGGAAAATTAAATTATCCTATTGAAAGTTTTCCACTAAAAAATTATTTTAATGGAAGCAAAATGAATATAATTTTTCCTTATTCTTTCAAGGATTTTTTGAGGAAAAAATAATAGATCTAAAGTATTAAATGTTACAAATAATTAGCACTGATAAAAAAATCAAACTCTCCAACCAAGATTGGTTTCAGTGGGCTCTGATGGTATACCACGGGTTGAAAAAAGGACAATGTGCATAATTGCACCACTGACAGGATCGAAGGATGACTTTATTGTAGATATAAGTATTTTTATCCTTACGAAAGGATGTTAGCACTCTTTGAAGAGTTTCCGGAGTGGACTGTTTGCCAGGCTGATTTTTTCTTAAGATGAGAGTAGCGTTTCCCTCGTGCTCGCATAACGGCCGGTGAAATTTCGTCGCACCAGGACACCGAATGCGGTCAGCGAGATGCCACTGTCGTTCTGTTTCTGCGAGTCAAGCGGGCGAGTTTCTTCGAGATGTTGCTTCGCGATACCCGCTATCTATCTGCGCTACCGCGAATACATACCCGCCGCTGCGCGTACGTAGATACCTCAGCGTGTATATCAAGTCGTAACAGAGACGAGTAGGTAGGTTTACCGTCGCTCCGTGTCTCGGCCCTCGCACAGGCGCCGAGTCGGCTCTGCCCTATTTGGGACCGGACAGGAAAAGGGAGCCCGCAACGAGCATCTGCCTGCTCGCTGATCTCGCTCCCATCTACGTGCCGTCCGCCTCTAAGTAGCGGACACACAGGTAGTTCTCTATTAACGCGGAAATTCCACAAACTTCCGCGTACGCTCGCGTTCGCGGAAACTCGCTCGGGGTGGACCCGGAAAGTTTTGCGGCAACTTCTACGGTAGCCGTGCGCGCAAGGAAAAAATTATCGGGGTGGCGCGGCTGTGAGTCTTCTGCATTTCGCGATAATTTAACATTCGCCGAAGCGACCGCGAGAACCTAATCCCTGTAATCGATGTTAATCAATTTCCCACTGAAAGCCGAGCGCGTAGAAAGAATTTAGTTACCTGTCCTTCACGACTAAAGTATAACAACGCTCTTGTATCCGAGTCGAAGTTACAGTTTTGCACTGAATTTGCGAATCCTGTCGAACTTAAAAATTGAGAATTCTGAACATGAAACTATAGCTGTTATCTTACCTTGACGCTACAAATGATTATTTACCGCCACTTGCACCACGTTGTCTTGAAACAAGACTTGCATCTCGATTAATCTCCAATCTCGCTGGAATTATTTAATCTCAGCATTCCAACGACTCGATATCCCTATCCTTTTGAATTCCGGAAAATCGACTGCGTAAGAAGTCCGGTCGTTTGCTTACCGAGACTTAAATTAACGTACCACCAGTAAATTAGAGGTGAATTAAATTTACTTCTTAAATTAGAATCTCCAATATTAACCAGACTGATCCGCGCTTCAGTTAACTTTAGACAAGAAGTCAAGTTGTTTGAAGTGAAGACTTGATTCGGTGATTACTTATTTATTTCGAAAGGATCTCGAAGAGAGGTCAAGATTCAGACGAAATATTTCGCGCTGCAAAACGGTATTTTCCCTCGCTTCTCCCTTCCTTGTTTTTCCCTCTGGAGAAGCCGCAGCACCGCGCGAGTGCGCATCCCCTTGCACCCTGTTCGTCGAGACCGCGGTATCACGTATGTCGAGCCTTACGTAAGTCGAGGACCGAGTGTGCTTGCACTCGTTCCTCGAAGCGACGAGCAGGAATCGAGCGACGGCGGAACCTAGCTGACTGGCTGGGGCTGGTTGTGTGCGCGCGGCTGGCGCCGTGCTGTCGCATCCTATACAGAGAGGATCGCTTTCGCACAGAGACACACGCGGGGTCCTCGTGGGTGTCCGTTCGGAGGAGAGATAAAGAGAAAAAAGATCGGACACTACCGTACCTATCTCGAGATACCGACGCTCAATGACGCGCGGCCGCGCGTTACTGTCCGACGGCATCAGCGCGTCCCTTCGTCCCTCGAGCGAACTCGAGACCTGATTTCCCTCGTAAAAGAAAGAAATTGCCAGTGAGAAATTATAACGAGTATAATCGCATGTCGCATACACGTATGTGCATCACGTATCTAAGCTCCCACCGATTAATCTAATTTTGAATTTTCGGATGGAAGTCTGGAAACGCGTCACTTGTGCTCCGCTAGGATGCACGAATGTTTAATTTTCAATTATGAGCGACGACGAGTATTTAGATATTTCACATCGCGACAGCTTTCTAATTAGCGTACCAATTAGTGCAACATATGAGAACGCCTGTGCGGGGTCCCAAGTGTCGCCCTACGTAAATCTTCATTTGAGCATCGCGTTCCCCGACGAGGGAAGGCAAAAAAGAATAATCCACTGCGTAAGAACGTCCGTTTGTTCACCAAAACTTAAATTAGTACACTCGAGTTAGAAGAAAATTTAATTTACTTTTTAAATAAAAATCTCCAATGTCACACAATTGGATCAAGTGGCGCTTCAGTTAATTTAAAATAACGAGTCAAATTGTTCCGAGTTAAAACTTGATTCGGAGATTACAACATGAAAGAAAGCCAACGGAGGCCACAAAATCTCTCTATCTCATTCCGAAGCAATCTTGAATGACTGTGTTATCCTCATTTCTTATTATCCCGTGTCGCGTTAATCGTCCTCGGTGGGCAAGGGTCGATCAGATTTTACCGTGCGGATACGGTCGATGCTTCTACGCGGAATAAGAATCGGTTTCCCGGACGCGTTTTCTTTTTCATCGTGCGCGACTCGACGTCGATTCGGAGACGCGCGCCGGTCGATGACGCGCATAATTGAACACCCTGGACTGGTTTGGGCACCGTTCGCGGGTCGTTCCGTCGAGAGGCACGATCTCTCTGTCGCCGTTGTCGGCGGCCGGCATAGTGATCGTCCCGCAGCATTCTCATGGGCTCCTCCTGTATCGTTGCGGCCGGTGTTGCATTAATTAAGCGCAGATGCCGATGCCTTGTCACCCGCCATTTGCCATTC